GATTCTCTCCCCCATCCCATTGCGGGGGGGGGGAGTAAGCGAACGGCTGTGTGCTGTTTACCTGCCTGCCAGGTTAAACCACAACATAGCTGTATTCTTGTTTTACATTCTTCACTATTTAGTGTATAGCACAAACCTTTTTTTTATCACATAGCTCAAAAATTGATATAAAGCAAGCATTATGTCACTAATTTATCTTAATTCTTTATTATAAGTCTTTTGAGAAAGGTTTTGCATCCAGACTAGTAATTCATATTCGTACGCCTGCCCAGACTGGTATTAATAAGGTCTGCCTTTCTAGATGGCAGAGCAGGAGGACAGTTTTTCATGCACGATAAAATTCCACACAAACATGGAACCAGTCAATTTACCACATGCAATCTGCCATGAGGTTGTATATATATGGTATCTCTGTGAAAAACGGAGATGTTTATTCACATCTCTTTACCTTAGGCACCTAAACTGAAACCGCTCATGTAATACAAATGACTGGTATCTCTCACTAGAAGAATTCAAACTCTCCTCCTTGACTCTAGAAAGGCAGAGAGAGTTTAGACTCCCAAATTGGACACTTCTTTCAGTGATGGTAAAAATAACCCCCACCTTTACTTACTCCTTCATGTTCCCAAATAAAATTTCTGCCCTAGTGCAATTATGACCTTTGTGCCTTTTATTTCATAGAATCACAGGTTTCCTCCATATATCTTGTGCCCTAGCTAATGCCTTTCAGCATCCTTGTTTTTTACGTGAGCCTTGCTGCCCATTACCTCAATTAGAGCCTAATATATATATAAAACCAACACAATTCCTGACATTTATCCTCAGGATTATTTTATAAAATGTATTCTTTCAAGAAAAAACAAGTACCTTTGAAAACATTTCTGATATTATTATGTAAAAGTAGGTAAAAACAATATTGATTTTATTTAATCTAAAACTATTTTTCTATGTCTAAAGCTAAACTTGTAATTTCAACTCCCTCTACAGTCAGTCACGAGCAATACATCTCTCAGTGGTGTATTTTAAACGAGTTGTTGCATTCTGCACATGTCTGATTCTCTGCTTTGGCTATCAAGGGAATCTACATAGCTAGGTCAATGTTTAAATGTCCACAGTTAGGTTAGATAAATCCCATCCATAGAACTTAATGAAAGAACAACTTGATTATTTGAAATCTCTGTGAGGCAGCATGATTAGGAAAAGTGTTCTCCGATCTGTGCTAATCTCTCTTGAACACTGATTGTTTTTCAAAAGCCGTTGGGTTTCTTTCTCAGTAGTGGAGCCAAAAATAAAAAGCAACCATTGAAAAATTATGCTATTTACTAGAAAGTCTCCTTAATAAATAGAGAAGATGGAAAAATTTTGAATTAAACTGATAATTTCTTTTAAATTTACTGTCAAAAGTTTGCAGCCAATTTTGACTTGTTCTCATCCAGGGTTTAAGGTACTTTAAGCACACAAAGCCCAATCAAAACTCACAGAATTACTTCAAAGAACATGGGCATTTGCAATTTTTCTCATGCGAAACAAAGACTACAGAGATAAGAAATGGTGTGTGTGTTTGCCGAGTGCTCTTTTGTAACCATTGCTTATCTGAGAAAAAGCAGCTGGAGATTACAAAGTTGTAGAAGTAGGTGAGGTGAAGGTAGCTGGACAGTTTCATTTTTGTTGGAGTGTAACTTAGTTAGACACCAATTTTATCAGTGGAGGGGTGGCCTTTGTATTCCCTTTGAAGTCTACAAGATCATGGAGGTTTAGCAGGAGACTTTAGGTCTTTATAATGATCGTTTCCATACAAGACAAACAAACACTAAAAACACAGCTAGCCAGGTGCTGCATGGCCTCCAACCAGGCCGATTTGGCTACTTCCAACACTTTTAGGATCTGAAGGCTGCAGGCAGTTGTCCCAAGGCCAAAAGACAAAGGTGCCAATGGCAGCGCCTGCCATATGTCACTGCTGCTCCTTGGTCGGCACCTGGAGCCCTCCTCAGAGCACCTCAGCCCTAACCTAACCCTGCCTGTGCCTGTGTTGGGGTGAGCTCTGTGGCATTGCTGTCCCTTCTTTACCCGAAGGAATTAGGCATGGAAAGGGAAGGTGACAGCTAGTTCGAAACACAGGGACAAAAAGGTTGATAAAACAACTCTACAATCAGTACTGTAGCACCTCAGCCTTTTGGGAGGGTGGGTATATGTTGTGGGCAGCACAGATTTGGACATGTTCTGGTCGGATCGATCCCTCTTAAACATCTGCTGCTGCTCCCCAGATCCCACAGGGATGAGAGCATTACTCACAGCTTGCTAATCTGGCAACTCCATGTCAGGGTCACTGGAAAGAGGAAAGGGAGACGGAGACCTCTGCGTCTGAGTCACCCTTTTTTGCCCAGCCCTCACCTTTCATGATAAAAGCCCTGCAGCCACAAACACCTGGGTCACAAACCTTCACAATGCGGCCCTACTTTGGCATACATGCTCTTCTTATAGTGACTGTTACCCTGAGTCCAGCGACTGCCCCAGCACGGAGTGAAAAAAATACCACCGGAGATGTCTATCCCCCTCTGTGGGACCTTGCCCCTGAAAACCTGCTGGATTTCCTAGTAAAGGACAACAAAATTGTCATCAATGCATGGAACTATCAAGAACGACTGGGGGTGTATAAGAACTTGCTAAACTCTTCAGCCAAATATTTTACCACCTTTGGATCCCAAAATTTTGGCAATATTCTCTGGGGATTACCATTGCAGCATGGGTGGCAATTCCGTACAGGTATGAGTTATGTCCTTAAGCTGCTGGAACAGCCGAGTGTTTACCAGACCCACCTTGGGTCATCCTTTCCAAGGTTTCTGCCTCGTAAGCCCAGTATAGCCTCAGGCGGTGTAAATTTTGACATACTGAGCTAAGCTGCCGATTTGAAAGAGAAATCCTGAATGAAGGGAACACCCTTGCCTTGTTGAGCAATAGCTGTTAAACTTCCTAGTAGGAAAAGGTATTGCTAAACACAGGACTGGTCAGAATCCAGAAGATCTGTGGTTTAGATGGGCAATATTTCAGTTGGCTAAAAATCTTTGGAAAGATATTCCCAGTTGCTCTACAGTAGGTAGATTTTAGGTCCTGCACTCTGCAGTGCTGTTCTTAAATTGTTAACTGATAGGCTTTTTTTGGTTGTTAATGTTATGATCTTTTATTAGTGGTTTGAGTTTCATTTCTAATACAGATAGCCGAAAGTCCACCTCTCCCTCTGAGAATTTGTTTCCATATGCCTTTTTTGATCAGTTTAGGAGTAGCCTCATTATTTTCTAAATATGTTTTTTACAAAAATTATAGATTGTTCTGCTTGTTGGGGTTTTTTTGGTTTTGTTTTGTTTTTTAAATTATGTCCAAATTCTAATGGCTCATCCCCCAAAAGCTGGTTGTTATCTGGGGTGGTCATTCTTGTTTGCTTGTTGACCACCCCAGAGACACAGCGTGACACACACAGAAACGTGTGAAAGGTCCTTTGAGGCTAAGGCTGCAGTATCTTATCGAGGGCTTTATCAGAGAACGTGTTCTTTCACATGCTGCTTCACACACAGCTTGCAGTGAAGCTTTCCATTCAAAGCTGGAGTTGACTTGCCTTGTTCTACCAGCTGGCAGAGACGGGAGGAAAGGAATAATAGTCAATGATGTTTTCAGGAACTTGTGCCTGGTGGCATCCAGGCATAAGCAAATGCATCTGTCTGTCTGTTGTTTTCTTTATTGGTTGCAATCTGTAGTTTTGTGAGGTGGTGTTTGGCTGAAGCCGTATGTTTTAAAGAAGCAGAGGCGCTGCAGCTGGTGGTGAAGGAAGGCTGCCAGCATTTAGTCACACCTAATAGAAAATTAACTGCTAAGTCAAAATGAGGAAAAGGAGGAAAAGGAGGTAGAATAAGCAAAATCCAAGCAGGCAACTAGCTGGCAAACAGGCAGCAGCAAGAAGAATTTGG